AATATCATTGGTCACTCTGGCTAACTGTTTGCACAGTGGGAAGGTTCAGCTGAGAAGATCTAGTACACTTTTTTTCTCACCTTTTGAATCTTGACAATAAGTTTAGTTTTCTCATTTTTCCCAATGAAGTCTTGAAGCTTTTTTCCTCTTTGAAGCTCTTTCCCAGCCCACCACAACTGGGTAGCACCTTCATCTAGCACTTGAAGAGAAGCCTGAAAATACAATGCAGTATGTACATAAGATAAATAGGTTGACATTTACAGTACAAACACATTGTACGTATCAATGAAGCCAGACAATTACTAGTAATACAGTCAAAACTCTATTAAACGGCCACCCTCGGGAATGAGACAACTGGCCCCTTAATAGAGGTAGCCGTTTAATAGAGGTTCACCTGAAAACAACGTTAGGCGTGGTCCAGTTTTCAGTTTATCAAATATAAATAAAAACGAATGCAAGTGGAGAAAAGTAGAACAATGATGGTTACAATACAGTCCATAATGTTAACAAAAGCCAAAGAAACAATTACGTTTCCACATTGTCATTCTTTTACCTTCATCTGGCCAAAAATGTCCAACTTCAAATCTTCCTGGCCATTTAATAGAGGTATAAAACAAAACAAAATCACCCTTGGGATGGTAAGAAGCTGGCCGCGGTCGCTTAATAGAGGTGGCATTGAATAGAGGTTTTTGTTACAGTGTATAGCTGACAATTTTTCTGGGACTCTGACCAGACCAGGCTGCCAAATAATGGTTGGTCACTTAATAGGGGGCTGCTTAATAGAGGTTCAACTGTATAAACTGCAGATTTAGCCAAGCCTAAAAGTGGAGCTTCTGGGTTGGGCTGTTCAAATACCAATTAAGCTAACCCAGGATAAGGGACAATTTTGATCCGAGTTTATAACTTTGTAGTGAGGTTTACCGTTTATTTTGTTTGGCCTTCTGTTTTGAGTTTCAATAATCTCAAACTACACAAAACAAAAGCAGTGAAAAACATTTGTAAACCTTCTGAACCATCCAGCCCTGATTAACAAGTTAACCTGGCTTGAGCCCACGATCCAATCGAAAACCAGTACCTGGTCAGCAGTCAACTNTATTATTATTATTATTTTATTATTTTTTTCTGTCTTTTTGGCAAAAGTTCATCTTAACCACATCTTTACTGCATGGCAAGTTTAAAAAAATCTGTATGTGCGAACTTTTGGGGCACAGACCTCCTTAAGTGTAATCCATGTACATGTAATGCCTGTGCAAAATACACAGTCACCCAATTTGAAAACAATTGAATTCTAAGCCCTGGCCTCTGTCAAATTTGATTAGACCAATAATGTCCTTGGAATATTAATTTTTATTCAGTTCAAATTGGACAGCTTGAAGTCAGTTACTTACACATACACTGTGCATTTGACAAATCCTTACAATTGGAAACAGACTTGCAACAAACCTTAGAAATTTTGGCCTTTGCTTCTTTTCTTGTTCGGTTGACGACTTCTGCCATCTTCTCACCAGGTGCTGTAACAAAGACAAGTATGGACCCCCAGTTCAAGATCAATCAGACCATTTTCAAACCAGTAAAAAACAACATGACTGCATGAGTGCAAAAAGTATCAAAACCAGTGTTCATGTATGAACATTTTACATACATATACATGTATATAAGGCATTCTAAGGGGCAAAAGCAGCAAGTGACATCACCCTGAAAACCAGCGACATGGGAATTTCTAATCAGTGACAAGTGAATTAAATGTGCCACTAAAACTAAGTGACAAAGACATGAGAATTGCTAGAAAAGACAGTGACACTGACCCTTTTGCACAAACATTTAACCACCTTAATGTTGTGGAGTATTTTGCAGGGTGGAAATTCTTCTCCCGAGAATGAATTATGCCCATGAAATCGTTGGTACACACAGAGGAGCTTTGCTCCTGGAGCGTGCCCCTGGAGCAAAACCCAGGAGCAAACCCCTCATGTGTATCAGCCTTAAGTCAATTAGTACCACTACCCTCATAAGTACATTAGCCCTCCAAATAAAACTATGGCTCTCACTTGGTGTAGAAGACACCGTTGGCTAAGAACAACAGAGAACAAAAGGACAAAAGAACTAGAAAACTATTGTTTCTATTATTTTCCTTGTTCTCTAGTCCTTTTGCTCTCTATTGTTTTAGACCAACACCAAGTAGGAACCGAAACTTTTTAAACTCTTTTTAAACCCACAAAATTATTCTTCTGTCACTCGTCCAGTCACCTGAACAACCTATAGTACAGGACTCAACCTAACCTTTCCCATTTCGTCTTCCAATGGGATCCTTATTTTCAACGACACCTCCAGTAGGAATACACTCATCCTCCCATTCGTCATGGAGATTAAGTTCAGAGAGCTGTTCTTCTGTCAGACCCTGCATGTTGGGTGGAAGAGTAATTCCATGCTTTGCAAGCTCTTCCATTTCTTTAATAACAGAGAAAAAAACTGATAATTAGATTTAAGCCTGTCTTAAACGCTTATTTATCATGTAAGCATATTATTTTTGCTGGTAACTTGATTTGCTTACCGTAAAACAAGCGCTCGATTTTTAGTCTTCCATTTTGAATTCTGACTAGTTGTGGTATAAGCTCCGAAAGCTCAGCTTGACAAGTTGTCTCGAAAAGGAACAAACTCTCGTCTCCCTGTTTTAAGTGCAGTTTTACCATTGTAAAAGCAAAGGTCGATTTTTCATGTGCAATCAAAGATGGCGGAAAATTCTTTGTAGCTCCGTTGCCATAGACACCGAGGACGCTATACCACAGTGCATCACGCTTCCCTGCCGAGACGTTTCGTGATTCTCTTGTATGAAGTCAACTCCCAACTCATCGTGAGTTAGCAAAACTCCTGCTAATTCTCGAATTTGAAAGCGCTTTCATTAGAAGCATGGACAAACCTTCGTCTTCAAATGAAGATACGTGTAGCGGCACGAAAGACAAGTTTGGTTTCACAGTGGATTTTTCCTGGGGGGTTAGTTCCCTGCGGCAGTGCGCTGGTTTTCCGGCTCGCGTTCTGGACCCAGAGGACCAGAAATCCTACATGTGCATGTATGTTGCACCTCTTGGGGCCCTTGTAGTGTGCTGGGACATTACAACAAGGCAGAGAAGGTACTCATTTCAAGCTCACAGTGATTTGATAACTGTAATGCTTCATAACATCCATCTCAACGCTGTTTTCACGGCATGTTACAGTGGAGAAATCAAACTCTGGAGTCCAACATGGGAACTGCTCGTGAACAGCAAAACGAAAGTGGGAGAGGTTCATTTTGCAGATTGGTCCAAAAATGGTGACCGAATTTTACTCTGTGGCGGAGAAGATTCTGCTGTGATTGTGTACGATCTCGCTAAATGTGACTCAAAGTGGGAAATTCAAGAAAGGTGGATTGTTACCCCGCAAACGACGAAGAATTCTCCAGACAAAGCAATTGAGAACTTTGTTCAAACTGATTCAGTGGGCAAAAAGGGTAACCCAGGCAGCTCTACATACGTAGAGCAGAAAGATTACTACGACATGGCAATTTTTGCACCTCAAAACAAGGTTATTGCACTTCTTCAAAGGCACCATAATAACTTTAGCGAGGCTCATTTGTACTCAGGGAGTGGTAACTTTTTGAAATCCCAAATTTTAGATCCCCTTGGAGACGCAAAGGCATCATTGCTGTGTCTATCCCCATGCCACAATGGGATCTTTGCTGTAGGATTCCAGGGAGGGATCTTTCTTCTTCTTGATGAAAAGGACCTGTCAGTCACATCAATTCTTCAAGCTACAGGCTCGGCCCAGGTAACCTTGTGGCATGGGAACTGCCTCCTCACAGTATCCTACCTGTCTGGAATTTTCTCATGGTGGACATCCGGTGGTGAACTTGTCCATGAAATCCGTGGTGGTCCCAAAGGTTCTATTATCCACCTCAACTGGGCAGAACCAGGAAAAGAGTTATGGGTGGGTGGAATCATGTCACTCCATTATGTCTCCTTGGAATACAACAATCCCGAGGAGAAATTTCCTGTCCAAGTTGAGGAGCAACACAGCATCAAATTCCTTGAAGTCACAGGATGTGGTGTTGCAGTAAATGATAAAAACCTAGTACTGGCAGGAGATTTTACTGGGAACATCTGTGTTTGGCAGCAAAGTAAGACTGATCCAGTTTTCCAAACCAAATATGAAAGTGCCATTAGATGCCTCACATGGAACAATAGCTATGCTTTCATTGGCTGCCTTGATGGCAATCTTTTAACATGGCTTCCTGGAAGTGATCTCTGTCCCCATATTGCTTTAACCTGCATTGGTGGTGTTTTAACAATGGCATGGTCACATGATCTCAGTAGCTTGGCCATTGGTCTGGACACAGGAAATTTATGCCTCTATAGATTTCAACCAGTCAACTCATCAGAGCCTGAGGAATTGCTTAATGTTAGAGCCCATTCTATCAGGAGGGATGGACAAGAGATGGCAGCTGAGATCTGGAGTGTTTGTTGGAGTCCATGTGGTTCAATGATTGCAACTGCATCCGAAGATCAGACAGCTTGTGTGTGGAATTCTGCCAATGGTAAGTTTTTTTTTTAATGACTTCAAAATATTGGGCAAAAATTAAGACCCGGGCTAGCTTGATGAAGCTATAGCTGACATTTTGACAAGGCTAAGCATGCAAATACATGTACATTATGTTACAACAGTGTCACTCAGGGATTAATTGACAGATGATTATGCATGTTCTGTATAGTGCAGTGAACATACAGCTGTACAGGACATCTACTTTTAGTTTCTGATTGATTGATTGATTGATTGATTGATTGATTGATTGATTGATTGATTGATTGATTGATGCCTAGTGTGGGTATATGATGATTATACATGTGTATTTCCTATGCCAATGCCTCAGTGCAAACTAGTTTCTAATTAATTTCACCAGGCATTTATTCAATTAATAACTTGTAAATATAAATAACATATATTGTATAAAAGACATGTTAACTGTCAAAATCTTTGCCCTATTACAGTTGCATACTGTGGTTATGAATATACCTTTGTTATATATGGCACATCTCCACTTCTTTAAGATGTATATTTAAATATATTTCCTATTTCCTTTCCTTCTAAAACTGGATTTGGAGTATCAGATCGGTTCTCATTGTGCATATGATACCTGGGAAGAGAATTACTGAATACGTAACAGTGGAAACACATTTTTCATAAGCACAGGTTTTGACTCTCTTACAGTGTGTACATGTGAGTTTGAGTCAGTAAGGATTATAGTTGTTGTTGTAGTTGTTGTTAGTGTTGCTGTTGTTATAGTTATGTACACATGTATGTTGTTCAAAGCTATGACAGTCCTACAAATTTACCCGCAGTTCTGTGTCCCCTGTCAGACAAAGATAAATAAATTTTGATATCATAAAGAAAACACACTGCTGACTCAATGCATGTATCTTGTTCCCTTCGATACTTGTGACAATCAATGTGAGCAATAATTTTTGAATTCTCCATTCCTGCTACCTGTATGTGGACAGGGGACTATATGTACATGTACATACCAGTATACAGTAGACAGTGTGTAATTTTAAATTACCTAGAGGTATAGTTTGTATGTCACTCATTTGTAGGGACAATAGTGCCATGATCACTCCTTGAAGATTAGAACCTACATAGCTTGTTCTGAGTAATATTAAATTTCCATAAATTATTTACTAATTGCAATTTTTAGGTCTGAAAATTGACACACTCACTGGTCACACTACTGCAGTGACATCAATAGACTGGAAGGAAATGGTCAATGGTCAACTGTTATTGGCCANTGATTGATTGATTGATTGATTGATTGATGCCTAGTGTGGGTATATGATGATTATACATGTGTATTTCCTATGCCAATGCCTCAGTGCAAACTAGTTTCTAATTAATTTCACCAGGCATTTATTCAATTAATAACTTGTAAATATAAATAACATATATTGTATAAAAGACATGTTAACTGTCAAAATCTTTGCCCTATTACAGTTGCATACTGTGGTTATGAATATACCTTTGTTATATATGGCACATCTCCACTTCTTTAAGATGTATATTTAAATATATTTCCTATTTCCTTTCCTTCTAAAACTGGATTGGAGTATCAGATCAGTTCTCATTGTGCATAATTATGATACCTGGGAAGAGAATTACTGAATACCTAACAGTGGAAACACATTTTTCATAAGCACAGGTTTTAACTCTTTTACAGTGTGTACATGTGAGTTTGAGTCAATAAGGATTATAGTTGTTGTTGTAGTTGTTGTTGTTAGTGTTGCTGCTGTTATAGTTATGTACACATGTACATGTATGTTGTTCAAAGCGATGACAGTCCTACAAATTTACCCGCAGTTCTTTGTCCCCTGTCAGACAAAGATATAAATTTTGATATCATAAAGAAAACACACTGCTGACTCAATGCATGTATCTTGTTCCCTTCAATACTTGTGACAATCAATGTGAGCAATAATTTTTGAATTCTCCATTCCTACTACCTGTATGTGGACAGGGGACTATATGTACATACCAGTATACAGTAGACAGTGTGTAATTTTAAATTACCTAGAGGTATAGTTTGTACGTCACTCATTGTAGGGACAATAGCACCATGATCACTCCTTCAAGATTAGAACCTGCATAGCTTGTTCTGAGTAATATTAAATTTGCATAAATTATTTACTAATTGCAATTTTTAGGTCTGAAAATTGACACACTCACTGGTCACACTACTGCAGTGACATCAATAGACTGGAAGGAAATGGTCAATGGTCAACTGTTATTGGCCACCTGCGCTGACGACAGGACAGTACACATAAGGGATGGAGTTACATTCAAAATGAAGTATTTGCTTGACACAAAAGACATCCATGGCTGGTACACGCTGACCTACTTGAGCCTAAATCCTGTTAAAAATTGGTGTCTCTGCTCAACGCAAAATGGCCGTTTGGTTCTCTGGGATTGCCTGAGTGGTGAGCGACTTGGATGCCGCAAAATGCATGCTGGATCCATTGAAGGATTGGTGTGGAACAAGGATTACACTTTGTGTGCCACTGTGAGTTCTGATTGTGTAGTGAACATGTTTAGGGTCAATGAAGTACACTGCAAATTGTGATGACAAAATTGCATGTTGTACACATGTATCAGTTGCTGTGCTTGAGAAATTGAACACAATTGTAGTATGTATGTACCATTACTGGAATCAACTTAATGCTTAAAATAAGTTTAATGAAATATTATAGTGTTTTCAATCAGGCAATAGTCTCTTGTAAAGCAATCAGACAATGAATTTGTTTGTACCCAACATTTAGATAGACGCGTTTAGTTTAACCAATAATCAAAAAGAAAACTTTAAAAGAGTATGGGCTGCCCAATATAACCATAAGAGGCAGCCATACTTAAGGAAAAATAATCAATATATATTTAATGGTCAGGTACTTACTGTAGTATGTGTACAGAACACAGGCCCATGCACACTACACAGAAAAGCAACTTTCACTTTTTTTAAAGAAGTAAGAATAATAATTTCCTTCAAAGCCAGAAATAACTAGAGCTATTATCAAAAAACTTGTTTTCAATGTTAAAAGATAGTGGCTTAATGCCATTGTTAATATTTTTTCAAACGTTTGCAACACAAGACCACCCTGTGTAAAGCTGAGTGTAGTGGAATAAAACAGTCGCAATTACAATAGCAATCAAGACATGAAGGTAAATGAATGACTGGTCAACAGCTGTTCATGAACTGCCCTACATGCATATTTTCATGCTAAACCTTAGTGCAGTGTATAATTATGTACAAATTGCACTTCACATTCTGCCACGACTGCCAAAACTTTACAGTTACAGTTTACATTTACAGTGTATGTGCATGATGAAACATACATGTACCAAGAAACTACAAAGGAACTTACAACTAGGAGGATAGTTTAAGAAATTACATATTTCGAGATCCTACAAACCTGTATATTTTTATTGTTCTCGTATCCTAAATATAACGCATAGAGCTTTTTATAATATAGGTTTAGATGATGTTAATAGTCTAGTTGTTAAYAACGCTTCTTCTTATAGTCTTAGGAAATCGTTAAATGTTGTTGTATCTAGGCCAAGAACTGAACAGGGCCGTCGTTCATTTAAACACAGAGCTGCAATTGCCTGGAACTCTTTACCTGACTCTGTCAAACAGCTTGAAAACCCTCTTTCTTTTAAAAGGAAGATAAAATTGATCAAGACCTATGTCAGAGACATCAGTTTCCAAAAGGAATGCTCTGTAAATTATAATAAGAACCCTGAA